CCCCCCCCCCCCCCCCCCCCCCCCCCCCCCCCACCCCCCCCCCCCCCTCCCCCCACCCCCACCCCCAGCCCCCCCCACCCACACCCACACCCACACTCACACCCACCCATACACACACCCACACCCACACCGACACACACCCATACACACACCCGCACCACCTATCCTAGTGTGGGGTGTGCGTATGGGTACTCAATTCACTGACACCCACAACCCACACCCACGCCCGCACCCACACACATCCACACTCACACCCACACACACCCACACACACCCACTCTCACACCCACACCCACACCCACACCCACCCACACCAACCTACACCCTCCAAATTTTCTATCTTTCATCTCTTCTGATATGGATGGATGTGGGTGTGTGGCTGTAGCTGTGCCTGTGGGTGGGGTATGAGTGTGGGGTGTGGGTGGGTGTCCATGTTGATGAAGAGGCTATGTACTGTCAAGCCCCTGATATCCACACCCTCAAGATTAGAATATCTGCTTTCATATGTTTATTATTTTGATCGACTATAAAATTCGCGAGTAAAGTTGATTTAATACTCACAACAGTCAAAGTTTGACAGTTAGCAGTGGAGTTCTTCGACTTTGATGCGACCCGATGAGATCGCTCTATTGAGAAAATCTTTTATGGCCCATTCCATTGCTCCATTTCGACTCTTCTTCGTATCGTGACCCTCAATGCCTGGTGTCTTTGTATCACATCGAAATCGTGCATCCCATTTCCATTGCCATTTCGAGAAGCGTCCTTTCAAACTGCCCGTACACGGAATTCCACAGATGCTAATCGGTGTATTTTCGCCCCAGTTGTGCAATTTCCAAATGCTATATGCCAATTGACCAGCACATGACCAGTAGTTGCCAGTGGCAACACCGGCTGCACAAGCTTGAATGGGAAAATCGATTTGTTGTCCTGATGTGTAGCTGTTAAATGGGAGAATGCAGCCGAGAAAGGAGGCAAGCAGGATCATTGAGATTTGCATTGTGAGTGATCAGAAGAAGTACAAAATTCGGTTTGTGTTGTCCAATTGAAAATAAATCGTATATATACCCGAACGATAGAGTAAAAGAGTAACACCATTAGTTTGATTCGAATTAGGAAATTTTACAATAGATAAGTGAGCGTAGATAAGAACGCAGAGAAAATTCAATACCTGACTAATACGATAATTTGATGCGTGCCATTTTCCAACATTCTGTAAGATGATAGGGTGAAGTAAATTATTGACGTCATGGATGTCGATAGCTAGAGAATTGGATATTCTACGTAAAAGCCCTTACACAGAAAAACAAAACGAACATGCCTTTTTTACCGTATGAATTATTTTATATATAACATTAGATGAAAGCTTCATGTTTTGTTTCTAACTCTTCACCTAGAAATCAATGTCAGCTCCTGAGGATAGACGAAGCTGATCAGTGTTTATTATTTATCTCAGCAGCAGCTTTATCTTGACGGATTGATGACCACTCTATCGTCTTTCTTTCAGAAGCTAAAATTCTTGAAAATCACCCTAAATGACTCCAGTTTCATATTTTTTCTTATATATTGAGTTGAGAGCTGTATCAAAGGATAGAGGATTCATAACTTTTCTATATTTCCCCTTTAATGTATTTGAGTTTCATGGTTGGGATGTCGTAATTAAAAAAAACGTAAACTCCCCCCCCCAGAATAAAAGGCCATGGCTTTCTATTATGGAAATTCACATCGGTCTTTTCAGAGTGGCCTTCTATTAAGGGTGGCCTTCTAAATACGACTTTTACGGTAAAAATTTACAATTTTTTTTGTTAGCTACTCATTGTGTTTTTCTAGCTCGGCAACTGAAAATTGAAATCTTCATCAATGAATTTCTTCTTAATATTTTGATCGTGGTCTTCATCGGAACTAAGTCCAGTATCATCAGCGGAATCCAAATTTAAATAATTACTGAGACGAACAAGTAAATTTTCACTATCTTCTGTATCAAAAAAGATTTCCCATTGATCACTTTCTGCTGAACTATCCGATTCTTGTTCATTGTCGTTGATAAATGATAATGGCAGTAAGTGTTCATCGCATTCTTTATATATATATCTTTGTTTCGCTGTTGAATTCGATCTGACTATATAATGGTTACATATTTTGCATTTTATGGATATGATTGAATTATTTTCGAAAGATGTATTCTTTTCTCTCGCTATAATGGCCTAATGCATTGTCTCTAGTTATTCGCCATATTATTTATTTTAAACGAAAGTAACAGTGATGCTTTTGACATCTTTTAAAAGGTCATTATGAACACTAAAGTTATATGAAAGCAATTTACAGATAATATATGAGACAATTTTTCCCCTTTTTTTTCCTTTCGTTCTGTTCTGAACATTTCACTATGAAGGTGAGAAATGATTTTGTCTCAGTGCAATGTTCAGAACAGAACGAAAGAGGAAAAAAAGATAAGAAAAATTGTCTCATATATTATCTGTAAATTTTTGTCATATAACTTTAGTGTTAATAATGACCCTTTGAGAGAGGTCGAAAGCTTCACTATATATTTTTATTTAAAACAAATAGAATTATTGATGAATTAGTTTATCTTGCCATTAGTTTATTCACTTATTTATATTTCATCAACAAATATTAGTATACTTATCCGACGTCTAGCACCAAAAATACTTCAGAGAACAGAAAAGTTTTTATATGTATTCAAAAGATATGTAATCGTACCAAAGAAAAAGAATTGAAGTGATCAAATAGATATATTAAACTTTGTTTGGTTTTGACAGCTTTTGGAAAAATTGAACATACCTCATTAAATTTATAGCAAAACCAAACAGCAGTGCGGTGGAGATCATAGAAAATCTCTCAAAATACTAAGATATTTATAAAACTACCACAGAATATTTATGTAATATCCAAACAATTCATTAGAAAGGCATGGCCTTCTAATATGACTTTTGCAAATGTAACT